ACACACATGGGCACACACATGGGCACATGCATACACACATGGGCACACACATGAGCACATGTGCACATATATTCACATGTGCACACACATACACACATGGGCACACACATGAGCACATGCATACACACATGGGCACACACATGGGCACACACATGGGCAGATGCATGCACACATGGGCACACACATACACACATGGGCACACATATATACACATGGGCACATGCATACACACGGGCACACACATACATGGGCACACACATACACACATGGACACACACATACACACATGGGCACACGCACACACACACATGGGCACATGCATACACACATGGGCACACACATACACACATGGGCATACACACACACACACTAAAGTTGGGGGTAGTAAGTGGGTCTCGGTTTTCCATTCTCATGCCCCACTCACAGAGCGCCATCAGCTGGTGAAGGTTCCCTCTGGAGAAGGGATCATCCCAGGGTCTCTGCGTGCACTCATATTGCCGGGGTGCCAGCTCTCAGTTTTGTGGTAGGAAACAAGCTCTTTGGGAGGGGCTGTGCCATCAGTGTAGAGTGGGTTAATTCCCATGGTGTAAATATTCCCACTCTGTGAACAATGTCAAGCAACCAGCCTGATGGCACTGGGTGCCGTTAGGGAAAGCTGTGTCCGCTCTGCATTAACTTAAAAGAAGAGAGAATGCGCAGGCTCATAGAAAGGAGCTGGGGTCGTCCTTCCCAGGCATTTTCTTTTTTTGTTGTTGTTTTTTGTTTTCTGAGACAGGGCTTATTTGTAGCTTTGGAGCCTGTCCTGAAACTCACTCAGCAGACCAGGTTGGCTTCAAACTCACAGAGATCCACTCTGCCTCCTGAGTGCTGAGACTAAAGGCGTGTGCCCCCAGGCACTTTCTTAGATGGGGGCCCTGAGAGGGAGAGCAGCCTTAAAGTCTGAAGAGGGGCTTCATTAGGAGAGATATTGGCCATGGATGGTGTGATGGGAGCGCCCTATAGATCCTTTAGTTCACAGACTATCAGGAGAAAGATGACACCACAGCCATAGATGGTCACAGTGGAACCTTAAAGGGGGAAAGAGAGGATTTCCTTCAAATCCAGATGAGCAAGGCAATTACCGACTCTTACAGGTTTTCTGTGGGTGGGCAAGCTTCTACCCCGTAGTCTAATCTGGTCTACCTGTCGAGGGGCGGGGAGCAAGCACCAGGCAGGACCATAAAACGGAACTGTAAGGCCATAGTCCATTATTTCTCAACTCTGAGTCCCAGAGAAAAGGGGGGAGGGAGAGAGAGATGGGGGAGGAGAGAGAGAGAGAGGGAGGGAGAGAGGGAGGGAGAGAAAGAGCTGGGAGAAGGAGGGTGGAACTGGGCTTGCTTTTCCCTCAGAGATCTGAAGACTCTTAACAGTCACAGTGGGCATCTGTTGGTTCTTTGTCTTAAGGGACAGATTGCATGGGAGTGTGACCCGATTTCTGGAAGAGAAAAGCAGCTAGAGGGTCTTAAAAAAAAAAAAAAAAGACAAGGTCTCCACTTCACTGCCCCAAATTCAGAGACCCGACCTCCTCTGCATCCTGAGTGCTGCTGGAATTAAAGGTGTGGACCATCACCGCCTGGCCAATGTTTATCTTTTTGAGATAGGGTCTCCCCAAACAGCCCAGGCTGGTCTCCAGTTGTCAGTCTTCCTGCCTCAGTCATCCAGTGCTGCATTTGCCGGTATTTGCCACCACAACTGGCTTGAATTATTTTATCTTAAAAATACTTATCTGGAAGAAGGGCAGTGGTGTACACGCCTTTTATCCCAGCACCAGAGAGGCAGAGGCAGTAGATCTCTGAGTTGAGATCAGTCTGGTCCACAGAGTGAGCTCCAGGATAGCCAGGGCTACACAGACAAACCATGTCTCAGAAAACAAAAGAAAAATTTATTTGGGGTATGTAGCAGTGGCTCATCAGGAGGCTGGAGAGATGGCTCAGGGGTTAAGAGCACTGACTGTTCTTCCAGAGGTCCTGAGTTCAATTCCCAGCAACCACATGGTGGCTCACAACCATCCGTAATGAGATCTAGTGCCCTCTTCTGACCTGCAGGTGTACATGCAGGCAGAAGTGGCTCATCAGGAAGAGAACCTACTCGCAGAGGACCTGAGTTTGGTTCCCAGCACCTGTGTCAGGAGGCCCAAAACCACATCTAACTCCAGCTTCAGGGAACCTGACACCTCTCTGCTTCCATAGCATCTCCAAAGATATTCACGTAAATAGCTGGGGGGGGGGGGGGGGCACACCTTTAACCCTCAGGAGGCAGAGGCAAGTGGATCTCTGTGAGTTTGAGGCCAGCCTTGTCTACATTGTGAGTTCCAGCACATCCAGGATTGCATAAACAGACCCTGTCTCAAAAAACAAAAAACAAACCACAGATTTCATAAACATTAAAAAATATTCATAGCCCGGTGTAGTGGTGCACACCTTTAATTCATCACTTGGAAGGCAGAGGCAGATAGATTTTTGTGAGTTCAAGGCCAGCCAGGTTTGCATAGAGTTCCAAGACAGCTGGCTACATAGTGATACCCCATCTCAAAAAATATTTGTGTTGATTATGGTAGTAGCTGCCCTTAATTCCAACATTCAGGAGGCAGAGGCAAGTGGTTCTCTGTGAGTTTGAGGCCAGCCTGGTTTATATACTGAGTTCTAGGCCAGCCAGAATGGAGATCCTGTCTCATAAACAAAAAAGAACACAAAAAACCCTAAAAATATTTACTTATGCCGTGTGGTGGTGGCACACACCTTTAATTCCAGCACTTTCGAGGCAGAGGCAGGTGGATTTTGTGAGTTTGAGGCCAGCCTGGACTACAGAGCTAGTTCCAGGACAGCCAGGGCTACACAGAGAAACTCTGTCTCAAACAAACAAACAAACAAACAAACAAACAGTGTGTGTGTGTGTGTGTGTGTGTGTGTGTGTGTGTGTGTGTGTGTGCGCGTGCGTGCTCTTGCAGGCATGGAAATCAGGACAGTCTCCTGAGATTGGCTTTCTCCTGCCATATTGAAATGGGGTCTCTGTGTCTCTACTCCAGTGTTCTCCTGCCGTGCTTCATACCTATGGCTCATTGTGTGGTGAACTGCCAAGACGTCCTCCTGACTCTGCACCCTATCTCCTAGAAGCCCTGGGATGACACATGTGTGCCATGATGCAGCTTTGACAGAAGTTCAGGGCATCAAGCTTGGCTGGTCAGGCTGTGCAATTAGTGCTTTTACTCCCTGGCCCAAATTCTTTTTTTAACAAAAGAAATAGAGCTAGAAAGCTGGGCAGGATGGCTCGTGTCTGTAATCCCAGCGCTTGCGAGGATGAGACAGGAGGATCACCATGAGCTTTGAAGCCATCCTGGGTTACAATGTGAGAATCTGTCCAAAACAAATAAAAGAGGAAGAGAGAGAGAGAGTGAGCCCCATGCACCCCAGTCCACGAAGACAGCGCTCACACTGAGGACCTTGGCAAGTGCTAATCCTAGACCCTTCCCATGTACTACGTTGCTTCATATGGAATGGAAATGTCACATCATCCAATTCCTACTTATGTTTGTAATACCTGAGCAAACCTAGAAATTCAGAGTGTTAAAAACACAAAGAGAGGGCTGGAGAGATGGCTCAGAGGTTAAGAGCATTGACTGCTCTTCCAGAGGACCTGAGTTCAATTCCCAGCACCCACATGGTGTCTCATGGCCATCTATAATAACATCTGGTGCCCTCTTCTGGTGTGCAGTCGCATATGGAGGCAGAATGTTGTATACATAATAAATAAATAAATAAAATCTTTAAAAAATGCAAAGAGACGGGGCGTTGGTGGCCCATGCCTTTAATCCCAGCACTCAGGAGGCAGAGGCAGGTGGATCTCTGTGAGTTCGAGACCAGCCTGGTCTACAAGAGCTAGTTCCAGGACAGCCTCCAAAGCCACAGAGAAACCCTGTCTCGAAAAAAAAAAAAAAAAAGCAAAGAGAAATGAGGAGTCCTTTTTCTCCTGGGCTCCTGCCCCGCCCAGCCCAGTCTTGGCTTTGCTCTCCCCCTACCTTCCCCCAGGTCAGGGTGCTGAAAAGGCAATACAGACAAAGGGGCTCTTTGGTCACAAAACACCTTTGGTCAGCATGCACCATCAGCTGGAGTGCTGAGGACAAGACACACTCTAACTCAGTTTATCCCTAAGTGAGGTCACTTTAGGGTCCTAACAGTTACCCACAAACACAAGAGCCCAGGGACCAGCAAACCTTGATCCGCACAACCCCTCCCACAGGCCACAGAAGCAGGACACGAGTTCCATGTTTATTTTCGGAAAGTGATGAAAACAAAAGAAATGCATCCAGACACCACTCTCTCTACAATAAATAGCCTCCCCATCCCAAAGAAATAAAAAAGAAAAAAGCTTGTGTACACCAGTTCAAAGTGACCTCGCTTGGTGAAACGCGCACCCCAACCCTTCCTCTGCACCCATTCCCTTATCTCCTTGCAAGGGGGGGCCCAGTCCCCTCAAAGTCACCTGAGTCCTGTCCTTGTTCCTGGTTGGCTGGCTGTTATAAAAATCCACAAGTCTTTACTCTCAGGTCAAGAGATTAACACAGTGAGAGACTAACAGTTCAAAATTACCCCCCCCCCGAAGGGAAAGGGGGTGTGTCTCCAGGCCTGGCCCCAACCCTGGCCCTTCTGCCAGAAGCCATGAAGTCCTTCTGAATCCAAAACTTTCTGGAGGCTTTGAGTCCATTCTCCATTCTCCACGGAGCCATTGGTCAGAAGCAGCACCAGGTACGTGAGTATAGTTCTGGCAGAGGAAGGGGCAGGGGACACTCCTGCCACATTTTCTTGTGGGCCAGGAAGCAACAAATGAACCCCAGAATCCTTCTCGGCCTTTCTCCTTCCCCAACCAATCACTACCGGGGGAAGGGGTGGCAAGAGCTCGGGGCTTCTAGGCCTGTGTCTGTTTCTTCTAAATTAGCTGGCGCCCTCCAACCCAGTGGTATCTTCTCAGTTGGGAAAATAGTTATAAAACTGGCCATCGGTTTCCTTATCAAAAGGAGAAGGGGCCCCAGCAGGAGAGGAGCTGTCTCCGCTGGAGGGATAGGGGGATATCCGCCTTCTCTTAGACTCCCCCTCGCCTAGTCCCGAGTCGCTGGGCTCCTGCCGGAGAGGGGTGACATCAGTCCACAGCGAGTGGGAACCCTGTTCCTCTGAGGATCCCAGACCAGGGTCCATGGGCAGAGTTCGCATGGGGCGGAACCAGCCAGCTGGGCTCATCTTGGGAGGGTACTGAGGGGCCACAGGCCAGCCAGCTCCGGGTGCCAGGACTTCTTGGCCACGGTAGTAGGGCACAGTGGGCCCAGGGGCAGAGGGCAGGAATGTGGGCTTCATGCTCACTGCTCGGAACTCTGCTTCATAACTGTGTTCCCGAGGTGTCCCCAGCCAGTAAGGCTGTGAGACCATATCCTTGGGTTGGCCAGGAAGGTCGGGGTAGAATCGGCTGGGAACAGGATACTGGTTGGATAGAAGAGGCGAGTAGGGGTCTCCCCCAAGCAGTTGACAGTTGGGTCCAGGTGGGGAGGGAACACTTGAGTCAACAGATGCATACATGCTAAAAACAAACAAACAAGCAGAAAATGAGAAAACAAAGCACAAGCATGAGTCTTCCTGTTCCTCCCTCCCTGGCCTGTCTGCCCCCCCCCGCCCCCCCTCCAAAGTAGATAGGACAGGTGGGCCTCTGATCTACAGTCCCATCTCAGAGTGACCTAAGTGTACTTACGACTCGAAGTTCTCCCGGAATCCTTTGGCAAAGGGATTATTGTCGATTTTCAGCTGAGTGATCTAGAGAAGGGAAACAGTTGCCGAGTCTGAGGCTCAGGAACTCCAGGGCCCCCACAAGAAGAAGGCTGTGCCGCCCCAGCAGACGCCTGTCCCCAGGGCCCCCCAGCCCTCACCTCCGCATTCTGATAAGCAGTCACCGCAATGAACTGGGTCTCTTGGAAAGTAAAGACGTGCGTATTAGACGCATTGCAGATGGCCTCCGGCTCTCCATCGTTCACCTCCACAATGTGCAGCCGGGGCTGGTACTTATGGAGGGACTGCAGGACAATCATCTGGAGAGGGAGTGAGGTGGTGGCAGAGTCATGGAAGGAGCTGGGAGTTTCCTCCTGACCCCATTGTGGTCTCATGACTGCATCCATTCTCCTGACAGTGACGGCTAGCCTTACAGTGGAACTAGAAAAATACTTGAGGACATCTTGTGCCTGCGTCCACCCTGCCACCAAACAACTTCTCTTAAGCCTTCCATCTTCTCTTTAGGGCACGAATTCTAGCCTCTTGTGACTCTCCTGAGCCTACATGTTGGTGAGAGCAAAGTATTAGCACTAAAGGTTGTATGTGCACGTGTGCCTCTGTGTGCTTGTGTGTGTGCAAGTATAGATAGAGGCCAGGGGACAACCTCATGCACCATCCACTTTTTTTTGAGACAGGGTCTCTCTCAGGCTTGAAACTCACCAAGTAGGCAGACTGGCCAGTGAGCCGTAGGGGTCCACCAGTCTCTGCTAAATTACTGGTTATTGCCATTACAGCCACTTTTTCTTTTTCCCTTTCTCTCTCTCTCTCTCTCTCTCTCTCTCTCTCTCTCTCTCTCTCTCTGTCTCTCTCTGTCTGTCTCTCTGTCTCTCTCTGTCTCTCCCTCCCTCCCTCCCTTCCTTCCTTTCTCTCTTTCTTTCTAAACATGGATGGGTTCCAGTGATGAGACTCAAATCCTTGTCTTTGCAAGGCAGATGCTTTACCAACTGAACCCTCTCTCCAGCTCAAGGTTTTCAGGATTAGGTGCTAGGTAGTGGTGGTGCACGCCTTTAATTCCAGCACTCTGGAGGCAGAGGCAGGTGGATCCCTGAATTCAAGGCCAGCCTGGTCTACAGAGTGAGTTCCAGTGCGGGCAGGGCTACACAAGAAACCCTGTCTCAGGAAAAACAAAAACAAAACTAGGATTGGAACCGTGAAGAAGGCTCAGCAGGCAAAGGCACTTGCTGCCAAGCTTGGCAACCTGAGTTTGGTCCCTGGGATCCCTGGGATGGAAGAACAGAGCCAACTCCAGCAAGTTGTCCTCCACCCTCCACAAATACAACATAGCACATGTGTACCCCACAACAAAATTTTAAAAATGTTTTTAAAACAAAACAAAAATTCTCCATTGTTCAATGTGAGGATACTTTGTATCCATTCCCTGGAACACTGGGACCCATCCAGATTACAAATCATGATCTAATGAAAAAGCCCCCTCTCCTCGGCCCCCAGGGACTGGAGAGATGGCTCAGCCTTCACATGGCAGCTAAAAGCTGTCTATAAATCTAAGGTCTGATACTCTCACACAGCCATACATGTAGGCAAAACACCAATGTATATAAAATAAGAAGAAATAAATTATTTTTTAAAAGAAAAAGAAAAAGCCCCCAGACTGATTTGGCCTGTGCTGACCAGAGATCCTCCCATCTCATTGTCTTCCCAGGGTGGGTAGGAAAGAGCCAGAGTTCAGAGAGAAGCTAAGGGGCTGGCATAGAGTAGCGTAATTAATAGGATGCTTGTCTGGCACGCACCAGTCCCTGGGTGCAACACCAGAACCACATGTTGCTATATGCCTGAAATCTCAGCACTCTGGAGCTAGTGGCAGAAGGATCAGAAGTTCAAGGTCATCCTTGGCTATGTAGAGAGGAGAGCAGACCAGAGCAGCAGAGGAGAGGGGGCTCAGACAGCATGGGGGGGTCTTAGGAAGTGTCAGAGGAGAGGGTCTCAGATTCAGGGGCAGGTGGGGCTGACAGTCCTACCTGGGTCACATTGTTGGAAGCCCCCTTGTTGTTGGTGAGCTTTAGTTTTCCAAATGAAACTTCCTGGCGCATCCAGTGGGCTCCGGTGTTGGGGGAGTCTGGGTGGACGTATAAACGGTTTCCTGTGGACAGTTAACCTTATTGCCAAGTAGCCCTTGAACAGACCCTGGAGATGTGGGATTTTGCCTGTTCTGAGAGGAACTCCAGAAAGATGCAGGGGAGGGGACAGACAGGCTGAGCCAGGGTAAATGAGGGCAGAGGGTTGCGCTGAGTGTCCTCTGCTAGATTAGAGAGGTGACAAGCCAAAGGAAGCTTGGGATAGTGCATAGATATATGCACATCAGGGGCAAGAGCTTGAGCAATCCACCAGGGGCATCTGGGAGAAAAAGCATGCCCACCACTCTGAAAGGGGTCGTACCTGGCATGCTGCCTTCTGCCTTTCCACACTGCACCCACTTGCCACTCTGGTACCGCCAGTGGTGCTGGTCCACCAAGACCACATCCACAAACATCCTGTAATGGCTTGTGGGCTCCAGTCCAGCCACAGTGAAAGAGAGGAATGGAAACATTCGCCTGTGGGGAACAGAGAAGCCCAGGGTCCATTAACCCAGTGGCCTGTCACCTGTGTGCACGCGGTATGCAGGAGCCAGCTTCCATGTTCTCAAGAGTCAATTGGCAAGTGTACTACACAGAGGCACACGCAGGCTCACACACCCACACAGAGGCACACACAGACTCACACACACGTACACACAGAGAGAGGCACACACAGGCACACACACACACGTACACACAGAGAGAGGCACACACAGGCACATACAGAAAGTATTAAAAATAAATCTTTTTTAAAAAAATTAAATTGTACTAGCTGGGTATGGTGGCGCTCGCCTTTAATCCAAGTACCTGGGAGGCAGAGGCAGGTGAATGGATCTCTGTGAGTTTGAGGCCCGCCTGGTCTACAGAGTGAGTTCCAGGACAGCCAGGGCTACAGAGAGAAACCCTGTCTTAGAAAACAAAATTAAACTGTAAAAACACAACAACTAAATACATTCTACTAAAAGCCAAGGCATTCACTACTCAGGAGTCTCTTTCCATTGTCTTCCTCTGTTGTGCTGTGGCCTGAGCTTGAGCTTATTTGTGTCTGTTGCATGAGGTGGTAGAGTGGCATCGCCCGCAGCTGTGTTCAGCCCTATCACGTTGGTAGCTTGGAATCAACCACGGTGAGCACATTTACACCGTGGGAATCAGCAGACACTCTAAATCAGTGCCTATCTTGTAGTGCTGACGATTCTTGCTGCATGCCCGGCAAGCACTCTATAACTGAATTACATCCCAGCCTGTAGACTTTTGAATATGCTTTCATCTCGAGAGATCAGTTACTAGATATTTATCTGGAAACCACCGTCTCTAACATTAGTGTGCTTCCTGTCCTGTGTGGGCCAAAGGCACCAGCCAGCTCTCCAAAGGCAGTTCCCAGGAGAGTTACACCTCGGTGCCACTTCTCCACTGTGGCTCTCCCACTCTGTGCAGTGCCCTCCTGCTGTGTTCACTGACTGGGCCTCCCGCCTCACACAGCCACAGAATGGCCTGCCCCAAGCCAACACCCTAGCCGTCCTAAGGCTCCAACTGTTCTTATGCTTAAAGTCTTGAGTCCCAGGAAAAGACAAGATAGTGGGTTGGATCCTGCTCTATTCTCCATCGATCTAGAGAAAGGGTCGGAAAAGGAAGCCTCTTGCAATGGCCTCCCCACCACTTCCACCGTCACTGCCCCTATTATCACGATCACTACAACCACCGTCTCTATCACAACCACCATCACTCTCACCGCTGTCTCCACCATCACTCTGACACTGTCTTCACCGTCACAGCCTCCAGCTCGGCTGCCGTCACCATCTCTACCACCACCTCTCCATGGTTACAGCCACCGTCTCCCTAACAACCACCTTCTCTTGTAGCCACCACCTCACCCTCACTGCAGACACCACCTCACCATCCCTGCAGACGCCACCCCACCCTCGCTTCCATCTCTGTGGCCAGCACCTCCACAGTCACCAGAGTTGCCATCACCTTCCCATGCCTACAGCCACTATTTCTCCAATCATCACCCCATGTCTCCACCACCGCCAGTCACGACCTCACCATCACGGCAGCCGCCATCTCCACAATCGTAACACATCCAACAACACCATCACGTCCCCTAGCTCTCAAACCACCACCTCCATCGAAGCCACCATTTCCACCCACTCTGTACTGCTGGGGTCTCCTCTGCTCTCCCTCCTCCCTACATAGCCAAGGAGAAGCTTGAACTTCTGATCCTTCTACTGCTAGCCCCACCATAGCCACCACCACTCCAGCCGCCACGCCCGTCATAGCCACCACACTATAGCCAGAGCCTCCATGCCTACTATCGTAATAGCCACCACTTTAATCATCATCACAACCATCCCGTCTCCAATCACAGCCATCCACTGTAACAGCCGCCTTCACTGCCGTGAGGCCACTAGCAGCCTCAGAGCCGTCACAGTTCCAATAGCTGAGCTCCCATGCCCCAGCAGGGAGAACGAGGTCGTCAGAGCAGCAGAGGCAAATCGTCATTGGATGTCCCTTTCACACTCACATCCCTCTGCCCAGGGGGCCATGTAGGATGGGAAAGCATTGGTCTCTCAGTCAAGAAACCTATAGACTAGCCTTGAACTCACATTAAAGCCACGAATGACTTTGAACATCTGGTCTACCTGCTTTAACTTCTAAAGTGCTGGGGTCACAGGCGTGTGCCATTATACTCAGTCTGTGTTATGCTAGGGATCCATCCATGACTTTCTAGACAAGAATTCTACCAACTTAGTTACATCCATAGCCCAAAAAGTAAGTACTGAAAAACTGACGTGTGGAGAATATTTTCAATCCATTTCTCTCACCAATTCATTGTAAGGTCACTCAAATCATAGTTTCTAGGCTGGAGAGATGGCTCTGAGTGGTTGAGAGCACTTCCTGCTCTTCCAGGGGATGCCAATCTGGTTCGCAGCACCACAGCAGGCGGCTCACAAGCGTTTGCCACTCTAGTCCCAGGGCACCCAGCAGTGCCTGCCCTACATGCATGCGGCACACAAACTCCTGAAAGCACACATACACATAAAAGTAAACCAGTTCCTGGCCAGCCTGGCCTACAGAGCGAGTTCCAGGACAGCCAGGAAAACAAAATGAACGCTGGGCGGTGTTGGCACACGCCTTTAATCCCAGCACTTGGGAGGCAGAGGCAGGTGGATCTCTGTGAGTTCGAGACCAGCCTGGCTTGGCACTTGACTTTAATCTCAGCATCTGGAAGGCAAAAGCAAGTGGATCTCTGTGAGTCTGAGGCCAGGCTGGTCTACAGATCGGGTTCTAGGACAGCCAGAGCCACATAATAGAGAGACTCTGTCTTAGAAGAGGGAAGGGGGCTGGAGAGATAGGTCATCAGATAAGAGCACTAGCTGCCTTTCTAGACAACCTGGGTTTAATTCTCAGCAAGCACATGATGGCCGCAATCACCCGTGAGACCAGTTCCATGGGATCCAATACTCTTTGGTTAGCTTCAGCAGGCGTTAGGTGTGCATGTGGTACATATTCATAAATTCTGACATAACAGCCATACACATAAAATATATGTGCACACTTGGGTGTGCACAACTGTAATCCTACCAACTTGGGAGGCAGAGGCAGGTAGATCTCTATGAGTTCAAGGCCAGCCTGGCTTACAGAGTGAGTTCTAGGACAGCCCGGACCACACAGAGAAATCCTGTCTCAAAAAACCAAACTAATTTATTTTCATGTGAGAACCAAAATAAAGTTCTCATTTCAAATTTCCTATTCTAAAGGAATAGAAAGAAACACTTTTTTTTGGTAATGCTAAGTATAGAGCCTGGGGCCTTGTGCATGCTAGGCAAATAAATGCTCTACAACTAAGCCATATCCCAAGGCTCAGAACATGTTTACCAATCCTCTATTTATACAGTAGCCAGTTCATCAAGCCAGTTATTTGACATATAAAATGCTCCTCAAAGTTTTATACTCAAAGACACTGAGGCTTAGACTGTTGATGACAGTCCCATGCTGTGGTCTCTGTGGAAGATTGTGAGATGGGAGGTCTTAGTTCCACTTAAAAAGATGGTGAGATGCTGTGCATAGAGACCTGAATTCTCAATACTCACGTTAAAGAAGGAAGGGGGAGGCGGGAGGGGGAGAAGCAGCAGCCTGATGTGGAGTTGCAGACCTTTACTCCCAGAACTGGGGAGGCAGAGACATTTAGATTCTTGGGGTTTGCCAGCCAGCCTAGCCTACTCAGTGAACTCTAGCCTAGTGAGAGACCCTGTCTCAATAATAATAATAATAATAATAATAATAATAATAATAATAATAATAAATAAGCCAAGTATGTTGGTGCATGTTTTTAATCCCAGAAGTTGGGAGGCAGAGGCAAATGTGAGTTTGAGGCCAGCCTGGTTTACATAAGGAGTTCCAGGACAGCCAGGGCTACATAGAGAGATTCTATTTCAAGAAAGGGAGAAAGGGAGAGAGGGAAGGAGGGAGGAAGGGAGGGAGGGATGGAAGGAGGAAAGGAGGGAGGGAGGGAGGAATAAAAGGAAGGAGGTAACGAGAGAGGGGGGATGCTGCCTGAGGAATGACCCAGCTAAGGTTAACCCAGCTAAGATTACCAGTGGAATCCCATAATAACTCCCTGATTTACATGTCACTTTGCTTGGAAGAAACAGTAGTGGAGACGGACCTGATACCACTCTGACCTCCATAAAGCCACCCACCACACCACTTTCAGGGGACAGAGTCATGGCCCCATAACTCTCTGCTGCCCCAATGGCTAACTCATCTAGAGATGATTTGAAGGGTCATGGGACATGGCTGGGGACACAGTGAGACCAGGCCAGTAAGACTGTTTCCAAAAAAACAAAACAATGACTTGTTTCAGACACAGACCAACTTTCTGTAAAGCCGACTGTCTGTGTCTTCCTCGAAGGTGAAGAACAACAACCCTGCATTTCTATGTAGCAATTTGCTTTTTCTCTTCTTTTCGCCTCTTTCTTTCTTTCTTTCTTTCTTTCTTTCTGTCTGTCTGTCTGTCTTTCTTTCTATTTATTTATTTATTTTTGGTTTTGTTTTTCGAGACGGGCTTTTGGAGCCTGTTCTGGAACTAGCTCTGTAGATCAGGGTGGCCTCTAACTCACAGAGATCCACCTGCCTCTGCCTCCCAAGCTCTACGATTAAAGGCATGCGTCACCACTGTGTGGCCTGTGTAGCCATTTTCAAGTGACTATGTGATTTCTAGTCCATGAGTCCAGACTTGGGAGGAGGAGGAAGAGATCTCTTGATGCCTGAGAACATTTTGCATTCTGAAAGTATAAGACATTGACAAAATAGTTTCTGAGGTTACATCGGTAGGTGTCTCTAGGAGGATAATTTTCCAATAGCTGCTTCAGCATTGGATGGTACACACTAAAAAAAAATTAAACTTATTTATTGGAGAGGATGTGGCACACTTGAAGAGGATGGCTTGCTGGAGTTGGTGCTCTCCTTCCACCATTTGTGGGTTTCAGGTCATCAACCTTGGTAGCAAGCAGCTTTATCCAGTGAGACATCTCACTAGCTTGATATTATCTATTTTGTGAACATTTTGTTATAACAACAAACCATTCTGTTTACATTTTTTTTGAGACAGGGTTTCTCTGTGTAGCTTTGTAGACCAGGCTGGCCTCGAACTCACAGAGATTTGCCTCTGCCTCTGCCTCTGCCTCTGCCTCTGCCTCTGCCTCTGCCCCAGACTGGTCTCAAACTCAGAGATCCTCTCCCTCTGCCTCCCAAGTGCTGGGATTAAAGGTGCGAGCCACCATTGCCCAGCAATTCTGTTTACTTTTTGAGAAGGGATCTTAGTATGTAGCCCAGGTTATCTTTGAACTTGTGACCTTCCTATGGCTGATTATAGGATCACATACATGCACCATGAACATGCCCAGATTTTAAGTGGGGTTTTTGTTGTTGTTGTTGTTGTTTGATCTGAAAAGCTGATCCGGGAATGTAACTTACTATAAGAGTGCTTGCCTAGCATCCATGAGATCCTGGGTTCAATATAGCACCACCAAGAGCAAAAATTCAGGGACTGAAGAAGTAGCTCAGCAGTTAAAAGCACTTATTCCTGCAGAGGACCTGGGTTCGATTCCCAGCACCCACATCACAGCTCACACTACCTGCAACTCCAATTTCAAACCCCCACCCACTCCAGACAGGGTTTCCCTGTGGTTTTGGAGTCTGTCCTGGAGCTCGCTCTGTAGACAGGCTGGCCTTGAACTCACTACCTCCGGAGTGCTGAGATTAAAGGTGGGTGGTGTCACCACTGCTGGGCTCAATATCCTCTTCTGCTCTCCGAGGGTACCATCTATGCACTTGGTACATAGATATACAAACATGTGAGGAAAACACTCATGCACATAAATAAAATAAATCTAAATGGTTAGTGGGATATAGTGGCTCACACCTATAATCCCAGCGTTTAGGAGGCAGAGGAAGCAAGCGTACACGTTCAAGGGCCAGACAGCCTGGACACAGAGAGCTCCAGGCTAGCCTCAGAGTGAGCCTCTGTCTCAAAAGAAAATAAAGTAAAGCTGGGCAGTGGTGGCACACACCTTTAATCCCAATACTCCAGAGGTAGAAGCAGGTGGATCTGTGAGTTCGAGGTCAGTCTGGTCTACAGAGTGAGTTCCAGGACAGCCAAGGCTACACAGAGAAACCCTGTCTCAAAAAGAAAAGCACATAATATAATGATGATGATGATGAAATGAAAGGCTGGAGAGATGGTTCAGTGAGTAAGGATACTTTCTGCTCCTAAAGGGGACCTGGGCTTGATTCTAAGTGAGCTTATGACCACCTATAATTCCAGTTCCAGCCTCTAAAGGCTCCTTCACATAGTAGTATCCATACATACACTCCAACAGACACACACACACACACATAAAAATTAAAATATTTAAAAAGTAAAATAATAAGCTAAAGCATTAATTAAAAGTTGTGAGAGTTGGGAA